GGGGAGGGAAGGGAGATCTACATACCCCCATCCTGGAGTGCGTGGAGCCCAAAGAGAAAAGACTTTCTAGCTGAGTAAAGGTATCTGCTAATTTCAAAACAAGCTGGAGTCTAGGGACAAGATAACTTGCAAACACTGGCTCCCCACAATATCACCTAGTGGACAGTAGGAAACTAAGACATAGATTCTGAGCCTGTGAGGATACAAGACCAACCCTAAAATGATTCACTTCTGGATCCCGAGAAGAGAATCTTTGTTATTCACATATTAAGACAGAGGATTCATCTGCAAGGAGGAAAAAAAATGCTAAACAAATAGTAATATAGTTTCAGCATTAAAAAGAAAGCCAGGAGGCTTCCCAGGTGGTTCAGTGGTAAAGAATCCGCCTGCTAATGCAGGGGACATAGGTTTGATCCCTGGTTCGGGAGGATCCTACATGCCTCAGAGCAACCAAGCCCTTGCACTGCAATTATTGAGCCTGCGCTCTAGAGCCCAGGAGATGCAACTAATGCGTCCAAATGCCTCAACCACTGAAGCCCGAGTGCCTAGAGCCCTCGCTCTTTCACATGAAAGGCCACCTCAATGAGAAGCCTAGTCACCGCAAATAGAATAGCTCCTGCTCGCTGCAGCAAGAGAAAAGCTCACACAGCAATGAAGACCCAGTACAGTAACAAGTGAATAAATAAACATCGTGCTTAAAAAAAAGCAAGCAAGCAAGCCAAGGGCTAATGTACTTCGCCATAAGCTACAAGGGTCTTTGGGGAAATAACTAAACTAACATCCTTCTATCCTACCCATCCCAAGTATAAAAACCAGAAGGAAAGTGTGTGATGCCTGAGCCCCTCAGTATTAATTTTATTAGTGACTTTAAAATTTATTTCCTTGCAAACCAACGTAAGGAAAGTATCTTACATTCTAACCCAATGCTCAGATGAAACAAAACTATCATGAGATGTATTTACTCTTGTTAGGCGTCAGTCTCTGCTCTTTTCTATTGTATTCTATTTAAGAAAAAATACTGGCCACAAGTTTCTAAATTAATTTCATAACCCACCTACTTATGTACAAATTTAGAAAAACACAAACTTATGTACAAATTTTCATCCTATATCAAGTGATTAACACTGATTTTATATAAGGAAATGTGCTCTGGCAAAACTGAAAGCAAATTTACCACATACTTTTCATGCTGCCAAGCGTTTGTACTTACTTGCTCTCCCCTACCTTTCTTGAGATGCTAGTCATGATCTTCTTTAAGATCTAACTCCACCATTTAGCCTCCCCATCCTCCACAGTCAGAACAGCTTCTTTCTTAGCTCTCTCTCAACTCATTACTGAGACCTCTACCACTGCACATTAGATTTGACTAGTACTCAGTGATTTACATGACTGGTGCAAAAGTAGTTGCAGTTTCAGACCATGAGTTTTAAATCATTATAGCTAGGCTCAAACATATCTTTATTAATCAAAATAGGAATCATTACAATCAACACATTTTTGTCAATGAGAAATAAGTTTTTTATTCCTATAGTGTAAAAACCCACGCTTCGAGATTCGATGAACTCTTGAAAAGCATTCTCTGCATGCTGCTGGTTGTGGAAATGTTTTCCCCGCAAAAAATTATGGAGATGGGTGAAGAAATGGTAGTTGGTTGGTGAGAGGTCAGATGAATATAATGGATGAGGTGAAACTTCGTAGCCCAATTTGTTCAAATTTTGAAGCACTGGTTGTGTGACATGCAGTCGGGCATTGTTTTGGAGAAGAATTGGGCCTTTTCTGTTGATCGGTGCCAGCTGTAGGCTCTGTAGTCACCAGTGCATTCCATCAATTTGCTAAGCATGCTTCTCAGGTATAATGGTTTCGCCAGGATTCAGAAAGCTGTAGTAGATCAGACCAGCAGCAGACCACCAAAGAGTGACCATGACCTTTTTTTGGTGCAAGCTGAGCTTTGAGAAGTGCTTTGGAGCTTCTTCTCAATCCAACCACTGAGCTAGTTGTCCCCGGTTGCTGTATAAAATCCGCTTTTTGCTGCATGTCATAATCCAACTGCGAAATGCTTAGCTGCTGTTATGTAGAATAAGAGAAGACAACACTTCAAAATGAATTTTTTTTTACTTGTGGTCACTTATGAGGCACCCACTTATCGAGCTTTTCTGACTTGCTCTCCAACTTGCTTCAAATGCCAAATGACCTCAGAATGGTCCATGTTGCATTCTTTGGCAACTTCTCATGTAGTTGTAAGAAGATCACCTTCGATGATCCTTTCATTTGGTTGTTGTCCACTTCTGATGGCCGGCCACTGCACTCCTCATCTTTGAGGCTCTCGTCTCCTTTGCAAAACTTCTTGAACCACCACTGCACTATACATTCGTTAGCAATTCCTGGGCCAAATGTGTTGTTGGTGTTGTGAGTTATCTCGCTGCTTTATAACCCATTTTGAACTAGAAAATTGCTCGAATTTGCTTTTTGTCTAATATCATTTCTATAGTCTAAAATATATATAAAATAAACAAGTAATAAATCATTAGCAAAAAAATAGAAAGTGAGAAATGCACATTAACATGATTATAACATAACCACATTTATTTAAGAATGTATTCCAATATCAAACAGTAAAGTTCAACAATGCAAAAACCACAATTACATTTGCACCAACCTTAATACACTGTGCTCATAACTGCCTCTCTCTAAACTAGCCCAATGATTAAGATCCAACAAGTAATCAAAATAAACTTTAACCAAACCAAAGATCCAGGATATTTAAAGGTTTACTGTGAGAAATCCTGTTGCAAAGCAAATAGCCTCTCCCTAATAATAATTCTGAGAGCATAGGGACAGTCCGGGTGGCCTGGTGGTTAGGAGTCCGGCTCTCACTGTCATGGCCTGGGCTCAACCCCTGCTCAGGCAGCTGAGATTTCACACAAAAAAAATTCTTAAAGTATAGATTCCTCTATAACCTATGAATTTACAAATCATCAAACACCTACTTAGAAGTTAATTAAATCTTATTTAAAATCTTCATAATTGTGGGGGCCTTGGCTCAGAGGTTAAAGCGTCTGCTTGCAATGCGGGAGACCCGGCTTTGATCCTTGGGTCAGGAAGATCCCCTGGAGAAAGAAATGGCAACCCACTCCAGTATTCTTGCCTGGGAAACCCCACGGACGGAGGAGCCTGGTGGCCTACAGTCCACGGGGTCGCAAAAGGTCGGACACGACTGAGCGACTTCACTTTCACTATACAAGGGGACTTGGGCTTTGGTCTCACACTGAGGTGGCCAGTCAAGTTCTCATTAACCTCTCAGGTGTACAAGGCACAAATTTCCCTCATCTTCTGTTTCTCCACAAGGCTTGTGGCTTCATTCGTTCAGCCAAATATTTGAGAATTTACTACATTAGGCATTGGAATGCAATGATAATAAACACAAGCCTAATGCTCCAGGAGCGCATGATCTAATAAGGAGGAGGACGGCTAACAAGAAAATAAGTGTGACAGCGTAATGTAATAAATGGCATTAGAAACATTAAGGGTGGAGTGTTAAGGATGGGAATTAAGACACCTAGAGGACTTCCCTGGTGGTCCGGTGATTAAGACTCTGGGTTTCCACTGCATGGGGTATGGGCTTGGTTCCTGGTCAGGGAACTAAGATCCTGGATGAAAAAAAAAAAAAAAGAGCCCTAAATTAATATTTGAGGGTAACAGAAGTCTTCCCAGGGAAGATAACATTTAGGCAGAGATCCAGAGGTTAAGAAAGAACTGATTAAAGAGAAGGGATCAGCAAGAGTATTCTTGGCTGAGGAGCCGTCAGGGACGAAGGACTAAGGCTCAGAGAGAACACGGCTCATTCGATGAACTGAAAGTAGTTCAGCAGAGTTGAAGCTGTTTGACCAGGGTTAAGGAATGGCAAAAAATAAGGCTGGATTGAGTGGGACCTTAACAGTTAAGCTAAGAACTTTTGAACTCTTCAGATAGTTCATTAAGGCTGACTTCCCTTCTATTCTGGTAGCTGGCTAGAAAGATTGGGCTAAGTCAATGTGTGGAAATCAGAGGATATGTGAAAATTAAGTGACAGCTTAATTTCGGCTGTAAATTCCTCTTCTTGTTTGCCCACAATGCCATCTTGGAGTGGCATCTGACAAGGTAAAATTTCAAAAGAGCTGTCCTGGGACTTCCCTGGTGTTCCAGCGGTTAGGACTTGGTGCTTTCACTGCAGCGGCCCAGGCTCAATCCCTGATTGATGATTTTCAGAAATAAACAGTAAGGGAGATACTAGAGCTCCATTGCTAGGCAGCACAATAATGATAATACATGCAAATTAATATCAAATTAAATTTGTTATAAGTTACATTTTATTATAACACTAATTTCTGTCCACTCAAGCCTGAGCAGACATGTACCGAAGTCAGCGTTGCTAATTTGGTGATACATGTAATTTTTAAAAAGCAAAAAGAACACTACTCTGAACACTTATCTTCCTGTGCCCAAATGAAGAGGATAAAACAACTACTAGAAGCTGAAAAGAAAAGAGACAAAGCAAGACATGTTGTCTACTTGAGTTTATTCTGTTCTTTTTAAAAAAAGGAAAAAAAAAAAAGAGGTGAGGGATGGAAGGGGAGATAACCCATAAACACTGTGAAGAGGAACCAAGACTCCAAGACCTGGGCGTGCTCCCCAGTCCTCAACCTCAGCTCTCCAAGAGACTCCCACCCACCCAATCTTCTTTTAAACAAGACACCCAAATCAGCAGCAAAGGTACCTGGGATAGTCACTGAGATCGTGAACACTGGGGATAGGGGAGAGAGAGAAGTCCAAAAAACCAGGAGTTAGGGACAAAAGGGAAGGAATGAGGGAGAGGCTAGGCTCTGGAGGACGGAGTCGGGCCATGAGAAGTGGAAGTGGGCCAGTCCGGGGACGCCCCTGCCGACTGCTGCTGCCCACGTTCCCCAGGACCCCAGAGAGCCCCATGGTTTATTGTGCAGTCCATCCCCTAATCCCCGAGGGCCTCACAGGCCCAGCTCCAAGTCCTCCAGCGCCTCCTCCAAGGCCCTCCGCCTCGCCAGCTTCTCCAGCTGCTCTCTGCTGGGCTGGCTGACCTCTCCAGCCCGGACCCGCTGCTGCAGCTCCTCCACCTGCCGAAGCTTCTTCTTCAGGCTCTTTATCTTCCTGGCCTTCTCAGTGGTGGCGGCTGAGTCGGGCTGCTCTGAGGCGGCCGCGGGCGCCGCCCGGGAGGCCTGTGGGGCGCTGGGGACCTGGGCTGTCTCTCCCAGGGACACCTTCTCAAGAGTCCGGCTCAAGGCCTCCGCCTCCCCTTTCTCCTGCTGCTGCCGCCTCTTCTCCTTCCGCTTCAGGTTGCGTTTGGCGGTCTTGGAGAGGGCTGGCTCACCGCCTTCAGGCCTGGATGCGGAGACGGGGGCAGTGGCCTCTGGGCTCAGGCCGGGGGGCAATTCTGGTTTACTCTTGAAAAACTTCACATACTTGTTCTCATACCTGTGGGGAACAGTGTCAAAGAATCACTGACTTTTCGGGTCCTTTTGCCAACCTCATAATTTACATCACCCTTTTCATGTTCCTGCTGCCTTCCTCTCCCTCCAGGCCCTCCCCGACTTTCCTCAGCTCTGCAGATTGGAGGGTCTCTAGGTTTGGGGGCTCCTGCAATGCAGGAGACTCAGGGTGATCCCTTGGAGAAGGGAATGGCAGCCCACTCCAGTGTCCTTGCCTGGGAAATCCTATGGACAGAGCAGCCTGGTGGGCTACAATCCATGGGGTCACAAAGAATCACACCGAGAGACTAACACACATGTAGGTCCTAAAGCTCTGGCTCTCTGAATGCTATTTACAGATGCTGCTGATCAGAGGCCCTAAAAACTGGACTAGTCAGTCACTTGGTTACTCATCCCTCACTCACCCCTGAATCCCAGCCCCTTCCTTCCATTTCTTAGGGTCTTGGGACCAGGAAATTCACATGTTCTTTCTTGCTGTATGAGGCCCATTAAATACCCCCGCCTCATGCCTAGCCACTCACACTGGGACCTCCTCCTGGGGCACATAGCCTTCTTTCACCTTCCGCTGCTTTCGCCAGGTCCCGTCAGGTCGCTGTGTTGAAGCGATGTACTTGCCTGAAATGGGAGAATTAAGTTGGACAGTTACTCTTAATTTTCAAATAGCTCCCAAGATGAAAGAATGCATGAGTGCAGTTTCCCCCAGTCCCTTCCACCTAATGCACCCATTAAGGCATTCTTTTCTCATATCAAACTTTACTATTTACTGAGTGCCTATACCCTGTATAACACACCATTCCTGCCCTCAGGGAGTTTCTATCTTTATAATCTAGTTGGCAAGACAGGGAAGACACAGAGGAAGTTTAAAAAACACAAGTGACATGAGGACATCAAAAGACAGTACATGAATAAGAAGCCAGAAAGGGCAAAAACAAGACTCCTAAGAGGGAGAAATAACCAGAGATGTTATAGAAAAGAAGTTTTACTATGGTGGATGGTTAAAAACATTGGTCAACTTTCAGGAATCCATACTGTAGATATAAAAGGACCAGCACACAAGGCTATATGCAAAGGATGCTCACATTATAATAATCTTGCTATATTATTTAAATTAGCAAAAAGCTGAAAGCAACTTGAATGGCCATCAACAGATGAGTGATCAAATAGATGTAGGTCATCGCAGGATATAACACCATGTTATTAAAAAAAAAAAGTTAGATACAAATGAACTGACCTTGAATGGTATCCATGATATACTAAGTGAAAATGCAAGCTGCAGGCTAACATGTAGAGATCCTCAAACTTTTTTGTTTCAGAATCTCCCATACACTCTTATTTTGTAATATTATACATTTCATGATGACATTTTAAAAAAAATCATACCCATTAATGTTATCAGAAAACTCTACTGTGAAGCTGTTTTGCTCATAGTGGCAGATACAAGTTTTCCAAAATTCTAATTTCCACTTGACGGCTTGAATTTTATCACTGGAAATAAGCACCGTCAGGTGATTTCCATGAAACGACAGGATCACTTCTTTCATTTACAGGAAAATGCCGCTCAGATACTCAGGTCTGAACTATAGTCTGTCAGTCTTTCAAGCAGAACAGCGTTCCATGAAAAGGCGGCTGGTTTAGCTCGAAAGCCGGACCGCTGCGCCAGTGCTGTTTCCTAAGACACCATGTCCCTTCAGTGGGCAGCAGGCCTTCGAGTCTCCTCCCCGTTCAGCTCACAGAGAACAGTAACGAGAGGTGTAATTTTCAGTTACAGGTGAATAAGTTCTGGGGATATCAGGTGCAGCACGGTGACTATAGACAGCGAAACTGAGTTATATACTCGAAAGTGGCTGTGAAGAGTTTCCATTTTCTCACCATAAATCAATGAAATGGTAATTATGAGAGGTAATGGTAATTATGAGAGGTAATGGTAATTATGTGTCCAACTGTTAACTAACATTATTGTGGTAAACCTTTCACAATGTATGTGGTGTATCAAATCAAATCACTACATTGTACACCTATAACATTGTACATAATGTTTTATGTCATACCTCAATAATGCTGGAAAAATAATAAATAAAAAGATGTGCACTTAAGGGCCAGCCAGGGTTTAATCAAATTAATAATTTTTAAACTTTTGAAATAAAAAAAAATTTTTGGCCATGCCTCTGGGCATGCAGGATCTTAGTTTCCTGACCAGTGATCAAACCTGTGCCCCCTACAGTGGGAGCGTGGAGTTTTAACCACTGCACCGCCAGGCAAGTCCAAAATTAATAATTTTTATTGCATCATGAGGACATTCTTAAGTGAAACTGGCATTATTTATTATAAGCATGTGGCAGTGAAGAACACAGTGACTAGTACAGTGTTGGTCCCGCCACCTTGATTAGTGCTAAAGGGTCACAGTTTTACCCATCATGCCTTCTGTACCCTCAACCCAATCAAAGAGGCAAATAGCATCTTAGCATATTATCAAAATAGCTGTGCTTCAAAGACAGAAATATAGATCAATGGAACAGAATAGAAAGCCCAGAGATAAATCCACGAACCTATGGTCACCTTATCTTTGACAAAGGAGGCAAGGATATACAATGGAAAAAAGACAACCTTTTTAACAAGTGGTGCTGGGAAAACTGGTCAACCACCTGTAAAAGAATGAAACTAGAACACTTTCTAACACCATACACAAAAATAACTCAAAATGGATTAAAGATCTAAATGTAAGACCAGAAACTATAAAACTCCTAGAGGAGAACATAGGCAAAACACTCTCCGACATAAATCACAGCAGGATCCTCTATGACCCACATCCCAGAATTTTAGAAATAAAAGCAAAAATAAACAAATGGGACCTAATGAAACTTAAAAGCTTTTGCACAACAAAGGAAACTATGAGCAAGGTGAAAAGACAGCCCTCAGATTGGGAGAAAATAATAGCAAACGAAGCAACAGACAAAGGATTAATCTCAAAAATACACAAGCAACTCCTCCAGCTCAACTCCAGAAAAATAAATGACCCAATCAAAAAGTGGGCCAAAGAACTAAACAGACATTTCTCCAAGGAAGACATACAGATGGCTAACAAACACATGAAAAGATGCTCAACATCACTCATTATCAGAGAAATGCAAATCAAAACCACAATGAGGTACCATTACACGCCAGTCAGGATGGCTGCTATCCAAAAGTCTACAAGCAATAAATGCTGGAGAGGGTGTGGAGAAAAGGGAACCCTCTTACACTGTTGGTGGGAATGCAAACTAGTATAGCCGCTATGGAGAACAGTGTGGAGATTTCTTAAAAAGCTGGAAATAGAACTGCCATATGACCCAGCAATCCCACTTCTGGGCATACACACCGAGGAAACCAGATCTGAAAGAGACACGTGCACCCCAATGTTCATCGAAGCACTGTTTATAATAGCCAGGACATGGAAGCAACCTAGATGCCCATCAGCAGACGAATGGATGAGGAAGCTGTGGTACATATACACCATGGAATATTACTCAGCCATTAAAAAGAATTCATTTGAATCAGTTCTAATGAGATGGATGAAACTGGAGCCCATTATACAGAGCGAAGTAAGCCAGAAAGATAAAGACCATTACAGTATACTAACACATATATATGGAATTTAGAAAGATGGTAATGATAACCCTATGTGCAAAACAGAAAAAGAGACTCCGATGTATAGAACAGACTTGTGGACTCTGGGAGAAGGCGAGGGTGGGATGTTTCAAGAGAACAGCATCGAAACATGTATATTATCTAGGGTGAAACAGATCACCAGCCCAGGTGGGGTGCATGAGACAAGTGCTCGGGCCTGGTGCACTGGGAAGACCCAGAGGGATTGGGTGGAGAGGGAGGTGGGAGGGGGGACCGGGATGGGGAATACATGTAAATCCATGGCTAATTCATTTCAATGTATGACAAAAACCACTGCAATGATGTAAAGTAATTAGCCTCCAACTAATAAAAATAAATGAAAAAAAAAAAAAAAAACCAAAATAGCTGTGCTTGCAGACCTGTGGGAAGGGCCTTGGGGAATCTCCAAGGCTCCGGGACGGCATTTTGAGACGTGCTGGTGTAGAGGAGGCTCCATTCTTGTGGGGGCAAGGACAGGCACTCAGAGGCCCATAGGGTTTGTGCATAGTGACAGCGGGGAAGGTGTGGAGGGACGCATACCAAGGTTATCAAGACTTTAATGCTGGCGACCTCAAGAGGGGTAACCTGGGACAAGAGGTGGTAGAAACCATTACCCTTTAATAACGTAAGTTTTAAAAACATGTATTTATAGCTTATGTTACACGTGTTTGTTTTGTTTTTACTATAACTTCTGTTTTAAAAAGGGGAGGCAAGAAAGTAAAAATGATTGAAAAAATAAAAAGTCAAGTCTAGAGCCTCCCACATGGATTACACAAGTTATCTGTGTTCATAATGCAAATATCATTAATAAACTAAAACCGAAAAATGTGAAGGAAAAATGGGTAAGATTTCACAGGTAGGGGGGATGGGAGAAAGAACAAACATGAGCCAAGAAAGGCTTGGACTGTGGGGATGCAAAGACCAGAAAACAGAGGCGTACAGGAGAACCAGGCAGTTCCTGTTGGGGAATACAAAGCTATGCTGAAAATTAAAAACAGGGCCATATCTCAGAAAGTCTTAAAAACAAGGTCAAGGAATTTGGAGTTTATCGGTGAATAAAAGAGGGACACTGAGCACATTGTTTGTGTAGCTCCAATAGTTCAGAGACAAAAACTCAATAATGAGAAAACAGGCTCCACAGAGAGAGGATGGAGATTAGAGCTGGGCTTTGGAGAAAGAACCAAACTAAAGCAAATGAAAATGGAATGAGAATGGATTCTAAGCAGAATTCTATTCTAAACCAAATTTCCAACATGGCAGTATACAGGACCTGGCCAGGAGATGGTGACTAGACCAGCCTGGCTGAATCAGGGCTGATGTAAAGTAAATGAGAGAATGTTCAGACTTCAAAGTCCCAGTTAAGGAGTTTAATATCTGGCACATGGCATGCATTCACTAAATAGCTGTCAAATGAATGAATCTTTTATCCAATGCAGAGTTTTAGGGCAATTAATCTGGCATGATGAAAAGATGAATTGTTAAGGGAAAACATTGGAAACTGGGGAAATCAGTTAGGAAAAAAAGACCGCAGCAATCCTGGCATGAGAAGAGCTGGCTGAAAAAGGAAAGGAAGAGAATGATGCCAGATGTATTATCAAAGACACAACAGCACTCGGCAATTCACTGACTGGGGGAGGGGTAAAGAGTTTTAAAGTCAGAGACAACACACTCTGTTTCAGTAATCCCAATCTTGGAAATTTAGCATGAGGAAATAGTTCCAACTGGAAAAAACAAAGAAAAAAGAGACAGTAATCATGAAATCATGGCAGTATTTATAAATAGCAAAAAATTAAAAACAAACCACATCCAGTTATATAGGAATGGTTTATAATACAGCCAGTAAAAAATGCTAATTTTAATCATTAATATGATGTAATGGAATGTAAAACATATATATATACTATGATTTCTAATATTAAATGTTAGATTCATAAATTACAAAAAGAATGTGCAATATGAAAAGCTATGTTTGG